GGGACGTTACTGGGGTCCCCCACTGACCACCAATGTAAGAGGGGACGTTACTGGGGCTCCCCACTGACCACCAGTGTAAGAGGGGACGTTACTGGGGCTCCCCACTGACCACCAATGAAAGAGGGGACGTTACTGGGGCTCCCCCACTGACCACCAATGTAAGAGGGACATTATTGGGGCTCCCCACTGACCACCAATGTAAGGAGGGGATGTTACTGGGGCTCCCCACTGACCACCAATGTAAGAGGGGACGTTACTGGGGCTCCCCACTGACCACCAATGTAAGAGGGGACGTTACTGGGGCTCCCCCACTGACCACCAATGTAAGAGGGGACGTTACTGGGGCTCCCCACTGACCACCAGTGTAAGAGGGGACGTTACTGGGGCTCCCCACTGACCACCAATGCAAGAGGGGACGTTACTGGGGCTCCCCCACTGCCCACCATGAAAGAGGGGACGTTACTGGGGCTCCCCCACTGACCACCAATGTAAGAGGGGACGTTACTGGGGCTCCCCACTGACCACCAGTGTAAGAGGGGACGTTACTGGGGCTCCCCACTGACCACCAATGAAAGAGGGGACGTTACTGGGGCTCCCCCACTGACCACCAATGTAAGAGGGGACGTTACTGGGGCTCCCCACTGACCACCAGTGTAAGAGGGGACGTTACTGGGGCTCCCCACTGACCACCAATGAAAGAGGGGACGTTACTGGGGCTCCCCCACTGACCACCAATGTAAGAGGGGACGTTACTGGGGCTCCCCACTGACCACCAGTGTAAGAGGGGACGTTACTGGGGCTCCCCACTGACCACCAATGAAAGAGGGGACGTTACTGGGGCTCCCCCACTGACCACCAATGTAAGAGGGACATTATTGGGGCTCCCCACTGACCACCAATGTAAGGAGGGGATGTTACTGGGGCTCCCCACTGACCACCAATGTAAGAGGGGACGTTACTGGGGCTCCCCACTGACCACCAATGTAAGGAGGGGATGTTACACACCCACTTTAATTTGGCAATGCCCCTTTAATAATGTAAAGTAGATCTTCACCTCTCTGTCTGGGGTACCCCACCCCCGATCCGCACACACTGGAAGAACTCCACATACCTTGCGCCTTCCCTAATCAATAAGCTTTGCTCCGCCATTGCTCTTACCACGAGGTCGGTGATGGTGTAAGCACTGGGAGGTTCCTTCTCCCCGACACGGTGATGGGACACGGCGCCGACTCTCAGCACTCCCTCCTCCTTGAACACCCAGCAGGAGATGGCCACCGCCAGCTCGTAGTTTCCGGTCTTCGAGTACCTGGATGGAGATGACACGAGAAGTCAGCGTTGTCCTCTGATCAATGTAGGACCGCGGATGATGTGACGTGTGCTGCTGGGAAGTGGTGGTGGATTTAGACACGCACACGTACCTGGAAGAGCCCGGGGTGGCTTTCTGCACGGCAGAGTTAAAGAAAGCGTCGCTGAAGAATTCCAGGGAGCCGCTGAAGACGACGCGGGCGTTGTTCCTGGCCTGGAGTCCGGCGATCAGGAGGGTGTTCTTCCCCACAGCGTGAGGATACTGCGCCAATAGAGAGGATATGAGAAACCGCAACACCAAGACTTCAATAGGAGCCGATCACACATTCACCGTCCAATCATCTCATGAACTTTATACCAACATTCACCGTCCAATCATCTCATGAACTTTATACCAACACATTCAGGATTCAAATAAAGTAATTTGACAGCTGTCACAGCACAAAAGGCAAATCATCCAATTAGGTCACCTCTTCTATTAATAGGAGAACTATAAGGGGGACGGGGGGGGGGGGGGTTTGCAA